CTTGCACAGGGCCCCGGTGCCACCAGCCCAGCCCCCGGCACGGGCGCGGGTGGGGGGGCTCGGCAGGGAGGGATCCCAAAATAGAACCATGGTCATAGAATCTCCTGAGCTGGAAGGGGCACGTAAGGATCATCGAGTCCTATACTCCTGGCCCTGCACCAGGCACCCACAAGAATGTCCATCCTGGCACTGGCATCCCTGGGAGATGCTCCTGTGGTACCCAGATGTCCTTGCCAGGGCTGGGTTGGCTCTGGACTGGGCTGTGATGCTCCTCGCCCAGGTGGTCTTGCAGAGGGAGCCAGGGCCATGCCCACACCACCTATATCTCACCTGGCTGGGTGCAGGGCCATGCAGGTATGACCTGCAGGGATGTGGAGCTGGTTCGGGTGCAGAGCCATGTGCTGCTGTACAGTCACAGAACCGTGTGGACTGAGGAGCTGCACAGGCTGCAGGGACATACAGGGTGCAGGTCCTTACAGTCCCCAGCCCCACACAGTGCACAGTACAGCACTGTGCAGCAGGTCACAACTTGCAGTAGGTAACACACCTTGCAGCACCGTGAAATACCCTACAGTGTCCAGGAGTACACAGTGTGCAGCCCTGAGGAGCCCTGTATGGCATGTGCTGCGCTCCGGCTCACTCCCTCTTGTGGAACAGCACCGTTCAGCACTGTCCCTCGCAGCATCGTCTCCTCCTGCGTGACAGGGAGTCCCATGCACAGCTGTCCCCACGGCCAAGGGGGTGTGTTCCAACCTACCCAGTCCTCTCGCTCTGCCCCCGACCTTCCTGACCAGATCTCGAGACTTTGAGTGATGTTCTGGGATGGATCCTTCATTCACGACCCATCCAAGCCTCCAGTCAGGGCTTCAGGCACATTTTCTATCGCCTTGAGGACTGGGCATTTGTTCTCGTATTTAAGTGAGTTTGGCTCTACCAAGTCCCACAGGAATTATGAGCAAGTAGGGCAGGTTGGGGAGATGCTTTGGCCACCTCAGCTCAGTCAGAGCAGGAACCTTTCCTTCCCTGGTGCCCTGCTGAGCCTGCCTTTCCCCAGGGAGGTGGCACAGTGGTAGCCACATCCCAGCCCCGTGGGCATCACAGAGCCTGTCATGTCCTGGAGCAAAGCCACTCTGGTCCCACACGGAGGTGATGCTCCTGTGTGGGGTCGTGCAGTCCAAACCAGGTCCCAGGAGGTCCAGGTGGTGCAGGAGTGACCCAGCCCTGCGGAGTGGGATGATGGAGAAGGCGAGAGGGGAAGGATGGGGCCAGGGGCAGCGCAGGGGGAGCCCACAGGCAGTTGCAGTGCAGCTGGCAGCAGGAAGAGCACAGCAGCACCAGCACCAGCCGCCCCATGCCGTGTTCTATCAGGGCCCTTATCTCGCAGGGGGATGGGAGCAGCTCTCGAGCAGGAGGCTGTGGTTTGGCATTGAGCACGGGGCTGACAAAGCCTGAGCTGCCTCCAGCTCTAACGCCTTCAGCAGAGTTTGCTGAGCTCCGTGTTTTCGGTTTTGATCTCCTCACCTGCCGCGATGTAGGGGCAAAGCTGCATGTGGCTTCCTGCCACAGGGCATGGCATAGCATGGCAGGTTCCAGTGAGCACCAGGCCATCGTGCCACAAGGTCAAGCATGGGGAGGATGAGGAGGTCTTAATTGCATCCTGCACCCCACTGAGCTGTGCTGGGCACCTTGGCACCACCTTCGGCACTGCCCCCTGGCATCACCCATCCTGCCCATCCTGCTCACAGCTCAGACCTCTCTGGGCTGTTCCTACAAGGTTTTTGGAGGTTTAGGGACAGCAAAGCAGCAGATCCCAACAGTCCCAGCTCAGGATGGGCACACATGGGGGCTCCATGTGCAGCCCTGTCCAGCTGGGCTACACCCAGGGGAGGCAGCAGTGTGACCAGGGCCAGGGCAGCACCTGGGGGACACTGGGCGTCCCTTGAGGCAGGGATGTCCAACTCCCAGTGGGGAGGAGAGAAGGAAAATTTAAGCCCTGGGATCTGAGAGCTCTGAGTGCACATCCAGCTCTCCCAAGCATTTTTGACACATTTAGGCTGCAGGACCCACAGGAGTGACAGGGAGGTGAGCAGGCAGCAAGTGCTGTGCAAGCACACCCCCTCGTTCCTACTCCAACCACATGCAACGCTCCAGAAGAAATCCCTGCTCTGGCACAGGACATCCCAATTCAGCAGCTCTCAGTGGTTGTGTGTCCCCAGTTCAGAGGTGCCAAACCACCTATGCAGGCAAGTGCACTCACTGTCACACTGCCCAAAGCTGCTCTCCCAGCACCAGCTCTTCCCTGCAGCAGCAGCAGCCCCCAGAACTAGGGATTTACATCCAGTTTAAGTGTATCAATCCTCCTCTCAGGCTTTTAATGGTGTTTCAATGGTGCCCATGGAAGCACCTTAGCTTGGGTCTGAAAGGGTGGGAGTGGGTGATGGAAGATGGAGCAGAGCCCACAGCCCACGCAGCTCTCAGACACAAGGTGGGATTTCTGGGTTGTCCTGGCAGGGCCAGGAGTTGGGCTCAATGATGCCTTGTGGGCCCTTTCCAATTCAGGATATTCTAGGATTCCATGAAGGCACAGGGCTGACTCCATCTCCCCATAACAAGGGACATTCCATGATGGGAGCAAAGCTGCTCAGGGCTTCCCAGGGGCTGGAAGGGGCCCTGCTCTCCCCCAAGTAGTGGAAGGAGGACAGAGACTCTCACTCATGGCATAAACCCCCTGATGAGTGTCTGATCCTACAGCCCAGAGCCACTGGGCTGGCCACAGCCCTGCCACCCCCTGCCCCAAAACAGAACCAGTCCCCACCCTATTCCCATCTCAGTGGCAGCACCAACCATGTCCTACTGGGGTCCCACCCAGCACCCCCAAACTGCCCATCTCAGGGCATCCCACCCTGCTGGCACCAGCTGGGCTGGGCTGGGACAAGGACACTTCAAGAAAACAGAAAATATATACAGAGTGTGTGTGCAGGGACACAGCCACCCCGGGGGGCATGAGGCTGCAGGTGCCTGTCCCTGGGCACCTGACAGGTGGGACCCCCTGTGGCACTGCCCCTGCTCCTGGAGGGCTATAGGTTGGTGATGTACACCTCCAGCCCATTGGCTGCCGTCCGGGTCGAGGCTTTCCGGGGCTCCCCAGCCCAAATGTCCCCAACGCTCTCATACAGGTTCTCAGGGACACTGGGCTTCCCCTGCTTGTCCCGTTTCCCTGCCTTCTTCCAGTTAATGTCCACAGCCTCGTAGTCAGGGTCAGGGCCATGGCCCTGAGCAGTCCAGGCTCTGTCGTTGATGGACTCGTAACAGGGATCAGGAGGGGCTTGGGCTGCTGGGGACCAGCACCTGGCCTGGGCACCCTCCTGCTGGCAGGTGGGCAGACACCCTGAACCTGCCTCCCTTGCAGCCTGTGGGGTCGATGCAGGGACCTGGGGTTTCTTCTTGGTGGCTTTGCACACTGTCGAGTACATCTCTTCCAGCTGCAAAAAGAACTTGTTTTGGGTTGGTGTTTGAGGGCAAACCCTGCCCACCATGGGGTATCCCCATGCCTGTGCCCCCTCCCAGCTTCCCCAGCCCCCTCGGAGGATCCTAGCAGTGGATTAACTATTGAGCATCCTGCTTTTTGCATAGCCCAGGGAGCCTTTTGTGGGGCACAGAGAGCAGCACTGTGGGCATCACCTGCCCCTTGGGGTTGTGGCTTCATCCTGCCCTGAGCAAAAGCTCCAGTGGAAATGCAGTAGCCTAATTTATACCCTGCTCCAAACATGGGCGTTACAGGGAGGCTGGGCATTGCATGGCCCCACATGTGCCCCATCCCTGCTGCCCCCAGAGTCATACCTTGGCCCGGGAGGCATTGCCTGTGCCATCCCAGCACTGCTGTCCTCCAGGCTGTCCCACTGTAGGCCCATCCTGCACCTCCGTGGGCACTGTCTTCTTCACCTTACGCACAGAGGCGTAATCAGCTGCCCCGAGCCCAGCCCGTGGAGAGGAGAGCTGTGTGCCAGCAGGCATGGGGGGCACGAAGGTGTCCTCCCCTCCTGCTGCCAGGCACTCATAGACAGTGTCTTGCGCTGGTTTCGGCAGTGGGTTGAAGAGCAGGTTGGAGTAGGTCTGGTCAGGGGCCGAGGAGGCAGCTGGGGGCTCGGGGATGGGGATCTGGGGGAGCTCACGGTGCAGGAGGACACTGATGCCAGAGCTCTGCAGAGACTCTGCTCCAGGGGCTGCAGGGCAGGGGAGATCCAGGCTGACTGGGCGCTGGGCTGTGGAGAGAGGAGAGGAAAGGAGAGGAGATGAGGGGATGCAGGAGATGCAGGGGGCACCAACCTCTGTGCCAGCACCATGGCACATATGTGCATGCTCTGATGCACTTCCCAGGCAGTGTGGGCTCTGTAGACACTTGCCAAGGGCCACCAGCCCCATCATTTCCCTTAGCTCCATGACCACTCACCATCATCTCTGGCCTTCACCCGGTACAGCTCGTGCAGCTTCGTGTCCGATTTGCTGAGTGACCTCAGCTGTGTCTGTCGGAGCAGGGACTGCAGTGGGGAACACACACCCTCAGGTTCATGTCTGGGAGTCCCAGAGTTCCCCCCTGGAGCTGATTCTGCCCCCAGACATGTGCTTACCTCATCCACCAGCTTCACCCCATCCGGAGCAACCTTCTTCCTGCCCTTGCTGTGGGGAGAAGTGGAGCTTAGCTCAAGGCAGTTTGCCAAACCAGGGGTGAGGAACAGGTGCTCCAGTACCCTAACCTGGCACCCCTCAAATCCACATCCTGCTCCTTCCCCAGCCCTGCAGCAGGGTCCATGCTGCTTGGGGAGGTCTTAATTGCATCCTGCACCCCACTGAGCTGTGCTGGGCACCCTGGCACCACTTTTGTCACTGCCCCTGGCATCACCCATCCTGCTCACAGCTCAGCCCTCTCTGGGCTGCTCTCGCAAGGTTTTTGGAGGTTTAGGGACAGCAAAGCAGCAGATCCTGACAGTCCCAGCTCAGGATGGGCGCACATGGGGTCTCCATGTGCAGCCACCAAATGCCACCAAGGGGCCCCCAGCCCTGTCCCAGCACCAGGAGGGACAGCAGAGGGGTCACGGGCAGCACGTACCGTCTGCAGGCAGCACACAGGGCACCCAGATAGACCAGGCCACCGAGCAGGGCCAGGGCAGCACTGGCAGGCAGGAGGGGGTTCCCTGCCAGCCCCTTGCCACTGGCTG